GCAGCGTTCACCATTCAGAGTAGGTTAGCAAAATGAAAAGAATCACTGCTACCAGTACCACACTCTAATCTGCAGAGCTACTGAGAGGTTAAAAGAAAGTGAGGCAATTGCAAGTTGCATACCTGTCTAAAGCTAGAGGAACAACGTTGATGGCTCTTGAAGTCGTATATAGGAACTTGATAAGGCAGTCCACTTTTAAGCTTTTCAAGGCAGTCCAAAAGCTGCTCAGTGTCAAAAGCATCTGCAACACAGGAAATTTCCCCATTGATGTGACCTCCGTAACTACTATGATGTTCCCCAAAAGCACAACAACTTCAAAATAGAAAAGAAAAAAACACAGCATTCACCTGGATGATCAAAGTTATACTCATGAACAGTAGTAATTCGTCAGGCGTCAACCCACGATAGAACGAATCCTGCAATGTTCAATCTTCTGTCAGTAATATCCTAGCAAATGTGCTTCCTTTATAAAAAAACAATTACAAGATTAGCAAGCATAGTAGGAAAAATATACCTGATTCACAAGCACAACACGGTGATCGTGTAGCTGCTGAATAATCATATCACACACCGTCGTCTTCCCTGAAGCCGTACCTCCACAAACCCCTATTTGATTTGAAATTCAATTCATCCCCACAAAACCCAAAAAAAAATCAGCTCATTCACTAAAAATCACCAGCAAAAAGTTCAAGCTCAACCAGCATTCAATCAGGGACAGAAATCACAAACAGGATTTTCTTCTCTCAAGAGAAAGGGGGGAAATTCGCAGAAACACTAGCCAATTCGGAAATCGGCAGAGCCGAATTCGAAGAAAACAGAAGAACTGTAGCGTAGTTAGGAAGCATGTACCGATGACGAAGGGCTGCGTGGGGGGGACATCAGCTTCGGCGAATGCACCGGCGGCGGAGGAGGAGCGATGAGCTGGGGAGGAAGTGGAGGAAGCAGGTGGAGAAGAGAGGAGGCCGTCGATGCGGAGGCCGGAGAAGTGAGGGCCGGATGCCTTCTCCATGACGTAGTCGATAGAGTCGGTCTCCCCCGGCATGTTTTTCCGGCGAACGTCGTCCAGCTGAATGAGCTCCGGCGATCGGGGAATTGGATTGGACTGAACGAAGAAGTAGTAGTAGAAGAAGGAAAGAATTGGTGAGTCCAACGGAGACCGGAATCTGACTGGCGACTCGAGGGGAAAATTGATTGCGGAAGAGATCGAATAGACGGACAAAGAATATGCTCCTTAGTGGGCCCGGGCCTGCTGTGGTTTTGGGTGTTTTAATTCATGAAAAGCCCACGCGATCTGACTAACCTAGGTCACGTGCTTTACATGTGCCTTTATTTTATCTTATCCTTAGAGCTTAATTAAGTCGGATTAGTAATTAGGTAAGCAATGCCAAAACACTGTTAAACAGTTGGACTGTCTTTTCATGTTTTCTACCTTAGATCTAATAACTTATTAGGGTTCAAACATAGAATCTTGCATTTCTCGAGGTTGAAATACATATTTAATTTGGTTCTCTTTCAATAATTTGAGTTATTAGAGTCAATTTATTCATAATATAGTATTAGAGTTTTTGGTCAAAAGATCCCGTGTTAATACTGATGATTGATTTTAAGCACGAGGTATTGTGCATTCGTGCTCCTAGTATAGGTTTGGTCCTATTTTTCTTTCTAATATTTAAAATATTCATAGAATTGAGAACGAGACTTCATTATAGTTCATTGTATTCAAGTTTTAATTTGATCAGTTACTACTACGGACTAAATTGATGCACAATTCTAACACATATATAAGATTCATAACAATATTCATTTCAACAGTCCGAGTTTAGAACCACTGTGAATTTTCATTCGTATCGAAATATTATGAAATTTATATAAAATTGGTATATTCCATAATATAATCTGCTCTCAGTTTATTAAAAAGCAAAATTAATATAAAACCATCCTTAAAAAATGTAGAATTAAAAACGAAACAAACCCAAAATATACCATAGCCACATTTCCTCAGCTACTAACTACAATTTAATTCTCCCCCATAAAAAGAACATAGTACGAAATATACTTTTCAATTCTCAAACCAATTGAGGCATCAACAAGCTCAAGCTCAACACTCCCACAAGCAAAACAATGGACCCAACGACAGAATGAACAGCATCAGAAGACGACGACGACGATGAAGACGAAGTTGAAGGTGAAGCCGGAGTGGACGCTGCACTGCCAGAGTCGACCGTGATCTTCACCTTCATCCCTTGACCACAATGCCCTGCTGTCCCGCAAGCGAAAAACCGGGTCCCGGGTTTGCCCAGCTTCACCACATCATTGCCCGTGCTCATGGAGTCCAATGAAGAGCCAAGGTCGCAGCTCTTGTAGGCCGACTCGCTCCCTAGCTCCACCACGCTGTGCAGCCCTGAGCTGTACTTGAACACTGCGAAGCCACACATTTCGCATTGTACATTATATCTGGTCTAAGTTTGAGTTGAAACCTGAAAGTAGATGCAGAACGAGGGGAAACAATTAAGTGATAGGGAAATGAAACACATATATACCAAGTTGGTCACCAACTTTGAACTTCTGGGCTGAGGCCCATGAGCTGAAATCTGTGGATTCATCCCAGCCTTGGCTTCCTCCAACAGCATGTTGAGCTGCTGAAGCTTGCTCCCCAACAAAGCAGACCAAAGACAACAGCATGAAGAAGGTTGCTCTGTAGTTCTCCATTGTTAATAATGCCTTTTGCTGGTCTCCTAGCTCTTGAGCATTCAGCTTCTCATATGGAGACCTTATATAGAAACCAAATTCAGGGTTGTGACAGTTGGATGATTGACTCTGCCTTTGTGAAATTGAGAAAACATGAGCTAGTTAGCTTCGCAAGTATCAAGTAAAATGACTCGATTGTCCTTTGAAGCCAGGTTGATGTGACATGTTTTAGGGTGGACAGTATGGTCAATTTGAGCTATGATAATGAAGTGGATGCACAGGATTAAGTGTTAATCACAGTGGGAAACTATAGCAAACGTAGTATTTCCCTTGAAGCATAATCTTGTTTGTTCAAGAGTTGGTACCATCATTACAAGCTTTACTTGGCAACTAAGGTAGCCAGCTGGTTACTCATGATCTAGAAGCTTTTTTTTTCTTTGCTTTCTTATATATGTCATTCCAACCAATTAGAGAAACCTCTCCATGATTTGGTTCTTTATCAAAGATGGGTACCATCCATTGAGATCCACAATCGGATCAAATTGTTACAGGATCCGAGGATCGAATCAAAAGGAAAGATAAGGAACATAACCGAATTGACATTACAATTAATTGAGCCTGACTCGGTATAGTTTCAATCATGTTTAGTTTTTCAGATTTAAGAAAGCCCTACAAAATCGCAAACCAAAAACAATCTTGAAATTAGAATTATAAAGCCAAACTATATATATGGAGGCCACGCTGATGCGAGAGTTCGGTTGGGGATGTGAGTTTCAATTGGGAAAGGAAGGAAGTAGCGAATAAGTTGAGGTTGGGCTTCTTTCAGCGACCTTCGTCGTTCATTTCTAAATCAATCTTTTTTTTTTTGGAATTTGAAATTCCCACTTTTACATGGGCCGAAATCCAACCTGAATTTAATCCAAATACAACATTAAAAAGTTAGCCAGACAATGAAATTTTGAATTTTAAAATCCAAATCCCACTAATCTCACCCTGCTGGCTACTACCCACAGCCACTTTGCAAATTAAGTCTTGCTTTAATCAAACCGGTTAACCAGATTAATCAAAGACTTTGTCAATCCTCTTCCTCTAGCTTCATGAAGTCTTTACTTCATAGAAGTGCTAAAAAATATAAGATGCATCTATAACCTGTGAATACTAGCTACTTTATGTGGCAGTGTCCAATAGGAGAGCACAGTAAGAGCAGGGACTCACAAACACGATCATACTTTCAAGCTCCCATGTGTCATAGATCGTCACCATCCACATACAGGATGTTATTCCTCTTTTCTTTTACAAAACACAAGGGTTACTTGCATAGTCTTTTGAAATTGGGACTTCATATTCAGTTTTCAACTCCAACGAAGCATAGCGAACGGGTCAATTCTAATGTATAAAATATAAATATAATATATCATCATTAATAATATATAATTCAGTTTATTATTCTACCGTGCCGGCACCCTACTTTCCAGGAATCAAAGGCAAATCAACCTCATCACACCACTCCACCGACCTGGTCTCACAGAAGGAAGTATCGACTTGATTGGGGAAATAGGTCACCCAAACTTCCCCTCCAATTCTCCATTTCAACACGCTCCCTTCCATCTCCTTCCCCAACCTCCACGTAACCTCGTCCCCGTACTCCTTCCCGGCAAATATCAGCCCTCTCGCCTTCGTGAAGGGCCTGTTGGGCCCAGTACTGCTCCTCATTCTTCTGGGCCCGTCTCCTCCTCCACCGCCGCTACAATACTCCTGGCCCGTAGCCGTATCGTGCAGGACAGCATCGAAGACGACAGCGTTCCCTTCCACGTCTTGGTCCCACCTCCAGTCCTTCACCCTCGTTCTCAACGTCCCGAAATTTCCGGGGCCACCCTTGCCAACGTGTAGTAGCTCCGTCGTTTCGCTCTCGCCGTTGTGCGTCGAGCGGCCCGCGCTCAAGCCCGCCACGTACGTAGCTCCGATCTCCGGCCCAACCCAGGCACGAACCCTCGACACGAAGTGCCTCTCCTCCGAGTATTCCGATTCCCCACTGAACCTAAGCTTCGCCACGTGGAAGCGGAGGTTGTCCACTCGGGCGCTGACTTGGACGTACGCGTCGTGAAACGCAACGGAGTAGTGCAACTGAATAACGGCTTCCAACTGCTGATGCGCCAGAGCATACTTCAACAGCGACAGGTCGTTCGGCTCGAGTAGAAACGGCTTTATTGGCGCTCCGGAGAGGCGCATGGCCGGGATGGGCGCGTAGCCCTTGAGAGCCCAGTACCCGTAAGCCTCCACGGCGTAGCTGAACCCAGCTGGAAGGAGTGGCGGGACCAGCGCCCGCAAACCTGCGCCGGCGGCCGCTACCTCTCTGGAGATGAGCCATTTCGCTAACATGTACCCCAGGGTGCGGACGAAGCAGAGCTCCGCGTCCGCTCCGACGGCGACCAAGAACTTGGCAAGGACCGGCTTGGAGGCGGTGAGCAGGGAGTGGATGTTGGGAGAGAGGAGGGAGTCGAGGTAGAAGGAGCCGACTTCGGAGGGCGCGTCGCAGGCACACGCCCAGAAAAGGCGGGTGAGCAAGACGAGGTTGAAGAAGCTGGAGAAGGACTCTGGGGAGTGGGTGTCCAGGATCCAGGACACCGGTTCGGGCCGAAGCTTCTGGAACCGGCCGGAGCTACTGTAGGCCGCGGTGGTGGGTGCCCGGGTGAGGATTTCGTGGAGGAGGTGGAGGAGGAGGGGCAGCAGGAAAGTGGTGTTGGTGGTGGGACCACTGGAGTTGAGTAGGTAGGCGTCGGAGGCCCAGAGCGTGGAGGGAGTGGCGCCACGTAAGGATACGGATAAAGTGATAAAAAAAGCGTCCGGGTTTGCCGGAGAAGAAGAAGAAGGCGTTCGTCGGGCTTGGAGATGGAGAGTCCGAGTTGGGTCGCATGTTGAAGTAGCAAGTTGGAAGACGAGTAGTGCTGCCGACTCCTCCGAGTTATCATCAGTAGCGCCCCATTCACCGGAGGAAGGAAGGTCGGATATCCAGGACCACACATCCAGCATCTTCTTTTTTTTTTTTCCGGACGGTTGGTTGGCTGAAAGCAAATAAATATTGTTTTATGTGCTTCTGTGTGGAAATAACGATGAGTGAAGACATGGGAATTTTGATTTTATTTTAAGGAAGAGATGGATAGAATGAACGTTGATGAAGATGGGAACTTGGAATGAAGCAAAGCCACACCTATGAGAAGCGAAGCGAAGCGAAGCGAGTGGTAGTTATTTAATTGCATCATTGTGTGCGAGCGAGATACGATTGCATTTATTGTTTTCGGATCGGATTTTTTCCTTGTACGTGTCCCTTGTTTCAGTAGTATCACTATATACATATCCTCAAGTCGCGGGTAAAGGAGGATACACATACATATGTCGGCGCGCGATGATAACAAGCTAAGTGAGAGAATTCCATTCCATTCCATGGGTGGTGAAAGTAAGTGGCTCTCTAGTTCAAAACCCTCT